CTAACTCTTTCTTTGACTACTCTTTCCCTCACTAACTCTTTCCCTGACGAACTCTTTCTTTGCTAACTCTTTCTTTGCTAACTCTTTCTTTGACTAACTCTTTCCCTCACTAACTCTTTCTTTGACTAACTCTTTCCCTGACTAACTGTTTCTTTGCTAACTCTTTCTTTGACTAACTCTTTCCCGCACTAACTCTTTCTTTGACTAACTCTTCTTTGACTAACTCTTTCTTTGACGAACTCTTTCCCTGACGAACTCTTTCTTTGCTAACTCTTTCTTTGACTAACTCTTTCCCTGACATTCTAAAAGTCCGTAACACGGAAGTTTCTCCTCCTAAACTTCCTTTGATAATGTCGTATTAATTTGTACATATTTGTATATATTTGTACCAATCTGTGTTCGAAAGTAACATAAGTAGCCCTGTCAAGCCTTGATCTTGTCCCAGGCCGCACATTCCAGGGAAGTGGCCCTGATGGCCTCATCCCTGCACCGGCTGGGCAAAGGACTCAGCCCGACTCAGCCTGGCGTTCTTAGAATGTCTTAGAATTGTGGAGATGGACAAAATTTAAGGCCTGAGTTTGGAAAAACAATGTAGATATTTGATGATACTTGTACATACTACTTGTGCCATCCATTTTTCGGGTTAGTTTTGACCGTTTTGAGCCATATCCATAATATGATGATCCTCCATGATGGCTTCCACTAGATTCCACTATCACTAGCACATGTACAAGACCTGGCTGATACACAGGGCTGCGATGCCGTAGAAAGCAGTTGCCGTGAGGCATGCGATACGGCAGACTGCTGGGGCAATGCCAAGCTCTGGAGGTTGGGGAAGATGGGGAAGTGTGATGAAGTGCAAAGAAATCGAATGAAATTGATAGGATCTGATAATCTCTGATCGGCTTGATATATCTTGATATGGTTCGATGTTGTTCGATGTCACATGATGTCACTTTTGAACACTTTTGAGCTATGATTCTACAATGTGCCCATCACATGATTGCGATTCTATCATTTTTTCCAGGGTGGTTTAAAGTTGCCAATAAACACTGCAGACCACCAAGAGACACTATGCCGAAGGCTCTTGTTCCTGAGCGTGTTCGTCGAATGCATGAAGGCAACCCAACAAAGTGACTGTATGTGAATCTCGGAGTTCTAGCTTGAATTTTGGAATCAATGTGGAGAAATGCACATCGCAGCTGACCCTACTTCCAAGCAGACCCATACAGTAGGTAACTGTGCATGTAGTAGTAAATCATAGTAAATCATAGTAAATCATAGTAAATCATAGTAAATCATAGATGATTGATGATAGAAACAGTACTGTACAGATAACTGAATAAACTTTGAATACTTATTGTCCTTTCAGGAATATCCACCAATGTGCCCAAATGTGCTTGTGTGTTTTTGTGGTGCCAGAGGTGTTTGACACAAGACATCAAGTCTGTTGCGAACCCTGCTTGATCTGCAGTGTTGGGTTGTCAGCCACCTTGTACCTACCGACTCTCACCGACTTTTTCCGTGGACGGTACATCATGTACCGTCCAGTCGAGTTAATGAACGGAGAATGCACCCGAACTCTGTAGAAGCACAGGTATTGCCTATGCTGAAAGCAATCCAAAGTAGATTTGGATGATTTGGCGTACCCAACCCCTCGACACGGGTGGTTCAGTTGAGACATTAAACAACCAATATAGAATAATATAGAGTCTAGACCAACAAGGCTTGGGCTGACGTTCCCAATAGTCGTTGATCCGATCTCATTTTAGCGTTGTTTCACAAAGCTAGGTAAGATCCTGACTTCACAGAGTTTCGTCAGGTGTTTGCTACGATCCATGCAAGGACAAACGATGGATGGTGCACTCACTGCGACATAGCCCGTGTTTCCCACGGAAAGTGTACATTATGTGAATTATGTGCGAGGTTGTCAAGTCTAATGTTTGCAGCCTTGCTAGGTGCTTCAGTGGGAATTGCCATCCAGGTGTACCTTCGGGACACATATATTATATATTATTATATTATTATTATCATATATTCAAGTGTTAGCCTTCCCATGCCTTCCCTCAACCTTCAACTCCATATTTTCGTCACTTGGAACGTTTGGAACCTAAGCGATTCTCATCAAAGCTCACACGCATTGTTGACAGTCTCACCACGCGAAGAAAAGCAACGGCCTTGACGGGTTTGAGTCCTTGCCTGACACGAACAGGCAGGGTGACAGATTATTTTCGGTCAGTTTGTCAAGGTTCCTCCAACCTGCTGAATGACAACCAATCCAGGTAAATTGGTGATTTACGTTGTCAAGCCTGTTTATGATGTGTTCCTCGGGAAATGATGGCAGCTTAAAATGCCCAGATGACAGAAAGCTGACTATGGAGTTATGCCGATCAGTTCTTGCCAACTTGAGTGATGATCTACTCTTGATTTTCGCTGACCCTTGGTGAAAGCATGGAAATCTTGCTTGGAGTCTATCCAAGGCTTCAGCTTCCAGCAATATTAGCTTGATTTTGTACTCCATCTCCATTTCAAAAGAGCTCAGTTCTCAACGGTGCAACAAAACACGTAAGCCTGACTGATATCATGCTGCCTCCATGCTCTCAAGCAAAGCCTTAACAGTCCGTGATATAACTCTTATGATTATATTACAATATCTCTGCCATCAGTGGATGAGATGTGATATGATGCCTTGGATTAGACTTGCACGATTTCCTGATGAATCTCTGATTGTATTTGACCATATTTGCACCATACATTGGCCTGCAACGCAAGGCAAGCGACTGTCAACATGAAAGCATAGTCTTGTGCCGCTGCCACAGAATCTTCCAACAGCTGCCCCTGATACTCTTGGTCCACAATGAGCGACCAAGCTGCAGAAGTGATGTCCTGGTATCACGCATCTGGTGGCGTGGCATGACATTATAGCATATTCTATGTACTATGCTACTCTGCAGATAATTTATCTTCCTGGCTTTCCCAAAAGTGTCTTACCAGAAGGCGCTCATGATGGTATTGGCGTTTGTTGCGCTTTTTCTGGAAGTGGACATGTCGGACATGTGGTCATTCAAGGCCGCAATGTGGCAGTGACAGATGGCGACAGCTCGCTTTTACCTCATGAGGATCGAAGCACAGCTGGAGACTCAGGTGTTTGGGTCTGAAAATGAGCTACCTCAAAATTCCGACAGATTATTAGATTATCAGATATTATCAGATATATTTTTAGATACTATCGGTGTTTTTCCAATTTCTATAGATGGCAATTTGAGTTCTGGATTTTTCCTCCCAGCAAGTCACGGGTTTAGGTTAACAATTGAGACCGGCAGCACTGGATGTTGGTCTTCTTTCAATGAGGCGAACATCAATTCCTGGGTACCTAGGTTTGGTCCATGCTCTTTTTGTTATGCCCTTTGTCCCATGAAACAATCTGCTGCTATGCGACTCTTTGCAATGGCCCTGAGGTTCTCAAGGAAATTGTTGCGATCACGAAGCTGGCAATCCCCATGTTCATGGCTATGGCTTCTGAACTGCACTGGTTCCATATGGTTCCATTGGTTCCGTTGAATTTGCCGACAGTTTGAGTGTGAAGATGACAGACACGAAGACAACATACTTAGTGGAGCCGCTCAGTTTTTACATCAAAAACTGTATGAAAGAAGCATACATATCCTTGGTGCTGGTGCTGAGGTTTCTTGGGTTGCACTGAAGGCGCCAACAACTGTAGAGAGAGAGAGAAACCAGTGGGTTTGCAAATTAAATGTGTTCACCAAGCACCTAGATTTTGGGTGTCTCTCTCTCCCCCTCTGCCCCCGATACGTTGAAATTAGCTCTGCTGAATGATTCTGCCATTTTCCGAACGCCCCTGAGTTAGTCGCTTTGCGGTTCTCCCCCGGCAGGTAACTGATACGGCAGTCCTTGGACACGTCGGCAAAGAAACGATGGGGCACGTTGGCACGAGGTATTTGGATGCTACTGCGCTCAGTGACCTGTGGATACCTGGCCGAATCGCAAAACCAAATATCAGCGGATACTATTTGTGACTCGTGACGGAAGATACCTCGAGAAACTGCACCTGGCGAATCAGGATTTAAGATCGCAACCGACATTCATTCCAAAGCAATTGAAGAGTAATCTTGAGTGTTAAGGATTTGTCTCCAGGACGAAACATATGGAATGCAGGTATTATTGTGGATGTACAATTTAGTTTTCCAATGCAAAGCTGTTGCCACGCAAACAAGTTGGATGTGAGCGCTGGCTATTCTGCCAAACAGTTTCTTTCCTTGCTTTTGCCTTGTGAAACAAGCAACAAACTCATCCCAATCCGGGCGCATGTCAGTTTCTATACCCTCTCTAATGGCTGATATGGCGGTTGTACGACTTGCCCACCCCTCAGTTAGAAGAGAACCGTTATTCAATGTCATTCATTCATAAATACTCGTACCATTTGTACCATACGTACCTGGGTTTGCACAAAAGACTATCTGCAGGTTCTCATCCCCACAGCATCCCAAAGCTAAGGACCTCGTCCACGGGTGTTTTCATCCAGTCAAGGGTTGCCAGGTGCCCAGGTCTGATCTCCGGCAACGATCAGAGAACTCACCGATAAAGATGATGACTTGGGTAACCAGTACGAACCAGGATGAACCACGAACCGTGGAGTTGATGAGTTTTCCCATTCCATCCTTTCTATGTCAGCAAATCAATGTTTTTTTGTCGCACTCGGCCTTGAGGTCGGCACGTTTTGTGGGCAAGCCTTTGGCGCTGGCAACAAACAGCTTCACAGCTGGCACTGGTTGATCCAATTCATTTCGTTTGTTTTGCTGTCTTTTTTCTTGGAAACTTACGTGGAAAGAATACATGGACAAGCCTGTGCATCGCCGAGCTCGTTTGGTGATGCGAAGAGCCGTGCTTTGAACACCCAAGGCTCGTTGGTATTTGGCTTCAGGCAAGATCACGAAGAGTTGCGGCACATGCAACCGTATTCATTTGTTTTCCATTTGACCATTGAGAACCCTCTTGAGCTACCTTGGTTCAAGCAAGCTTAAACACACGCAGTTTCATCAGCAATTTTCAACCAAACCTTGAATGCAGTGCGTTCCGGGTCTTCATTCACCCCTTCCTCGCTTCGTAATCCCCCGTAATCATTCTGGAGGTCTCCTACGTGGTTTTGGGCTGTGTGATGGTGTCACTTGTCTTGGTATCAACTTTGCGAACTGGATGCAATGCATGCGTTCCCAACTGCATGCTTGAAGTGGGAAACAGGCAGTGTCAGAGGTGGCAAGCTTTGATAGGTAACTAGACCATAGTAGACCTGGAATAAGGCCAGTGGCGATTTGCTGGTGCCTCACCGCACCAGTCTTGCGAGCTGCTCACAAGACGCCGCAGGACGGTTAAGATCTTGGAAGGTGTGAGCAAACATGAGCAAACTTCAAACCGACTGACAATTGTCATCCTTCTCTTCTACGTAAGAACAACGTCCTTCTCCCGTTGCATGCTGAGTTGAATTGCAGTGGACGGAAGAAGCAGCATGAAGCAGCATGAAGCAGCAACTGCCGAGTTTGGGCGGATTGGCATCAAGTCATAGGCTCTCGCCTTTTGCTCGGAATCTGCTCGGAAATGCTTGGCAGGAAGTTTCTGATGCAAGCTACTACGCCATTGTCCTGGCAATTTGTTTGCCAGTTCGAATCGGTTCGTAGCTCAGCGCAGAGACAGTACTTAAGGGAACCTAGGGAATCCACGAAGATCTGCCAGTGGCCGGGGCAACAAATTCTGGGTTGAGCCATGGGATGCGACCATATTGGGGATGGACATCCATTGGTTACTAGGGATTATCAATGATTATCATTGATTATCAAATATTATCAGGACATTATTAATCAGGGCTTTGGCAAGCTTTGGTCACTACGGTCTGCGATTCGTTGGTGTTTAAAAAATGGCCTAACTACATTCTAATTATATCCCTGAGGATTTTCGATGAACTTGTCCATTTGGATGCTCCTGGTTGTTCTCCGCTTTTGAGCAACGCCGAGGTTTTTCGCAGCTGAGCAGCTTTTTCTCGGCGCAGAAGATTATGCGCCCTGCTGCAAGAAGCTCAGGAGATCTGAGGATCTGAAGCTAAGTGGGATTGCAAGTGTGATGCGCTGATGCACAACAATGTTACTTTATGTTACTTCAGTTCCCCACCTGCCAGGTGAGGGTTGTTAGATTTTATCAGAGCTGTTCTCCTCCTCCTCCGCCTCCGCATCCTCCTCCTCCTCGTCCTCCTCCTCCCCTCGAAGTCCAGATCACCAGTGGGCACTGCCGGACCTCAACCGCGATTTCCAGATCGCAGTGGGCACTGCCGGACCTCAACCGCGACTTCCAGGTCGCAGTGGGCACTGCCGGACCTCAACGGCCAGATAGAATGCCAGAAGATATGCAGATAGAATGCCAGAAGATATGTCAGATAGAATGCCAGAAGATATGCCAGATAGAATGCCAGAAGATTTGCCAGATAGAATGCCAGAAGATATGCCAGAACATATGCCAGAAGATATGCGAGATAGAATGCCAGATAGAATGCCAGAAGATAAGTCAGATAGAATGCCAGAAGATTTGCCATAGAGAATGCCAGAAGTAATTTCCAGAAGATATGCCCGGACATATGCCATGAAGAATATGCCAGATGAATGCCCAATAGAATGCCAGAAGATAATGTCAGATAGAATGCAAAAACCCGCAACAAAATGGGTAGGTACCAGAAGAATTTGCCAGATAGAATGCAGAAGAATATGCCAGAAGATATGCCAGAAGATATGCAGAAGATATCGATATCGAAAATGCCAGAAGAGATGCCAGATATAATGCCAGAAGATATGTCAGAAGATGCCAGAAGATATGCCAGAAGATTTGCCAAGATAGCATTGCCAGAAGATATGCTCGAAGAAATGCCAGAAGATTATGCTACATACAGATGCCAGATAGGAATCCAGAATAATAGCAGATAGAATTGCCAGAGATTCGCCAGATAAAATGCCAGAAGATATCCAGAGATATGCCAGAAGAAATGTCAGATAGAATGCCAGAAGATATGCCAGATAGAATGCCAGAAGATTTGCCAGATAGAATGCCACAAGAAAATGCCAGAAGATATGCCAGATAGAATGCCAGATAGAATGCCAGAAGATATGTCAGATAGAATGCCAGAAGATTTGCCAGTAAGAAAATGTATAAATGCCATGGAAGGGATCATTCGAAGTGAAGTAATTTTTAGCGTTTATCAGATTCTGATGATCTTCAACATTCTTCAACTATGAAACCCTGATTCAAATTCTGACCATCATCAAACGATGGAACTCGTTGTTTTCTTCGGATTCAGACATGTTTCCAGGATTTTCCAGGTTTGTCTTCAGATCTGTTTCCCACTCTGAGGTAGTTTGTTCTTCCTCCGCAATGCTCCTGAACCTGGTGGGGACTCTCATTTTGGTGTTAGGCCCGGGGGCTCAAGGGCAGTGGCTTAGCCTGGAAGAGCGGCCAGGGGAGATGCAATGCCTCTAGTCATCCGGATGCGGCTTGCAGGTTGCGAATAGCGTTTGAGTGGATTTCAAGACCCATGGTGTCTCTTTAAAGAACCAAAGATGTTTTTCATGCTTTTGTTACAGTAATGAGTCCGATGAACATTTGGATCACAGCTCGGTATTTGGGATCATCCAGTTGATAATCTTGCTGGAAGATTGGAATGCATAAACACGGTAAACCAGCTAAGGTATTGGAATACCGCACTGGTCCGGCTTGGGCTTTCCAGCGTGCCCTTGGGCAGGGTGCCCAGGGTGAGACTTTTGAACGCTGAACGGATTGGCATCGCAAACTGTTTCATGGTGATGGAACGGAATCTTTTTGTGCGTTAATGTTTGTTTTTGGGTCTGTATCACAACATAGATTTCTCTCGTCTATTGCTGATGTCTCAAGTCAGTGCATCAGGATAAACATACGTATGTTTCAAATTGTGGGTGTATTTATCAGAATATCTGATCCGTATAAGGGATGTGGGAAGATTCGGGTCTAAAACACAGATACATAGACTCGATATATGTAGATAGAAATATAGTATATGTAGATACACAAATATCACATATTCAAGTGGTATAATTACTTTCCATGACATAACATACTCACATTCGATTCATCTACATCATCTACATCTAAGATCTCTCTCGTGGCAAGATTGGCTACATTTCTTCCGCTCTATCCAAGGCCACCACATGCGTGGAGTTCACGCAGCTCTTCATACTGTGGTTCCCTGTCGACACTGTCGGCATCTGTCGGCTATTGGAGTTGGAGCTGACCATGGGGCAAAGACGATAAAGACATCACCTGGTCACTCGGGGTTTTCCAGCACTGGAAGAAGGGTGCTAAACATTTTTGGCAATTCGCATTGGCAGCATTCTGATGTATCTCCATCATATCAGCATATAATATCATATAATCATATCCCCATTATATACTGTATATATATATATTTCATATACCATTATATACCCATTATATTCTCATCATATCTGTTTTGGTTTTGGATATCTTTATCAGGCAGTCCCCCAGGCTGGTTTGCGATCCCTTGCCGTTGCGAGGTTCATCTTCTGCTACATCTTGGGCCTTCACAAAGAATGTTGGCCCGGATGGTCCTGGGACCGTCTGCGTGCCATATTCAAGCAAACAGGTCATTAGGAGAACATAGATCAGTCCAAACTATATGTAAACTACTATAGATGTGTACACATGTTTAAATTGTTTGTGCCAGTGTTTCTGTTCGTCCCGTTAGAAAGCAGAATATGCCGAATGATGCGTGGAGGTGCTTCATAAATTGTCCCATTTTTGCAGGACCACATCACCAGAGACAGATTGGTCAAGTTCTGGTGCCTCGATTTGAAATGCGCGGGTGGGTGATTTCAAAAGAAGTAAGAAACGCGAGTTCTTTGAAAAGAAACCCTTACATTCGTAGTACAACTTGAAAAGATGCTTGAGAAAGCTCAACATGTTTAGAAGGATAGTTCAGGCCTGCAGCCTTTTAACAGTTACATTACATGTATGATCATGACAGCTGACGAGCACGTAGTTTAATGGACTAAGTAGATCCCAGTGAATACACATATTTGCCACAGATCTTGCTGCCATCTTCTCATTGAACGTAGCACTCTCGCGTTCTTCAGCATCCTTTCAAAACGTTGAGCATGCCACACAAACGATACACAACGCGTCTAGTCTATTGAATTGTTCAATGCTGTTCCCTATGCTGAGGAAGATGTACTTTCCAGCAGCTTTGTCCATTGGCTCTGACTTTTGGCGTCCCCCAGCGGCAGTGACCAAGTCTGCAAAGCGCTGTGCAGTGGCCACGTCATGAGAAAATCAGCTGAGGTGTTGCTGTCATTGGTGCCATTGCGTCCAGCATTGGTCAAGATGAATTGGCAGTGGGGTTCTTGGCAGTTCTCGGTGATGCAGAACAATGCTAACATTCCTTCTACGTTTTCTTCTAACATTCTTTCTAACATTCCTTCTAACATTCCTTCTCACATTTCTTCTATCATTCCTTCTAACATTCCTTCTAACATTCCTAACATTTCTTCTAACATTCCTTCTAACATTTCTGCTAACATTCCTTCTAACATTTCTTCTAACATTCCTTCTAACATTCCTCTAACATTCCTGCTAACATTCCTTCTATCATTTCTTCTAACATTTATTCTACGATTTCTTCTAACATTTCTTCTAACATTCCTTCTAGCATTTCTTCTAACATTTCTTCTAACATTCCTTCTAACATTACTTCTAACATTTCTTCTAACATTCTTTCAAAATCATTTCTTCTAACACCTAACATTTCTTCTAACATTTCTTCTAACATTCCTTCTAAGATTTCTTCTAACATTCCTTCTAACATTTCTGCTAACATTCCTTCTAACATTCCTTCTAACATTTCTTCTAACATTCCTTCTAACATTTCTTCTAACATTCCTTCTAAGATTTCTTCACACATTCCTTCTAACATTCCTTCTAGCATTCCTTCTAACACCTAACATTCCTTCAAACATTCCTTCTCAGATTTCTTCGAACATTCCTTCTAACATTTCTGCTAACATTCCTTCTAACATTCCTTCTAGCATTTCTTCTAACATTCCTTCTAACATTTCTTCTAACATTCCTTCTAAGATTTCTTCACACATTCCTTCTAACATTCCTTCTAGCATTCCTTCTAACACCTAACATTCCTTCAAACATTCTTTCTAAGATTTCTTCTAACATTCCTTCTAAGATTTCTTCACACATTCCTTCTAACATTCCTTCTAACATTCCTTCTAACATTCCTTCTAACACCTAACATTTCTTCTAACATTCCTTCTAAGATTTCTTCTAACATTCCTACTAACATTTCCTTCTAACATTTCTTCTAACATTCTTTTCTAACATTTCTTCTAACATTCCTTCTAAGATTTCTTCACACATTCCTTCTAACATTCCTTCCAACATTACTTTTAACATTTCTTGTAACATTCCTTCTATCATTTCTTCTAACACCTAACATTTCTTCTAATATTCCTTCTAACATTTCTGCTAACATTCCTTCTAACATTTCTGCTAACACTCCTTCTAAGATTTCTTCTGACATTTCCTTCTAACATTCCTTCTAACATTTCTTCTAACATTCCTTCTAAGATTTCTTCTAACATTCCTTCGATCATTTCTTCTAACACCTAACATTCCTTCTAAGATTTCTTCTAACATTCCTTCTAAGATTTCTTCTAACATTCCTTCTAACATTTCTGCTAACATTCCTTCTAACATTCCTTCTAACATTTCTTCTAACATTCCTTCTAACATTTCTTCTAACATTCCTTCTAAGATTTCTTCACACATTCCTTCTAACATTCCTTCTAGCATTCCTTCTAACACCTAACATTCCTTCAAACATTCTTTCTAAGATTTCTTCTAACATTCCTTCTAAGATTTCTTCACACATTCCTTCTAACATTCCTTCTAACATTCCTTCTAACACCTAACATTTCTTCTAACATTCCTTCTAAGATTTCTTCTAACATTCCTACTAACATTTCCTTCTAACATTTCTTCTAACATTCTTTCTAACATTTCTTCTAACATTCCTTCTAAGATTTCTTCACACATTCCTTCTAACATTCCTTCCGACATTACTTCTAACATTTCTTGTAACATTCCTTCTATCATTTCTTCTAACACCTAACATTTCTTCTAATATCCCTTCTAACATTTCTTATAACATTCCTTCTAACATTTCTGCTAACACTCCTTCTAAGATTTCTTCTAACATTTCCTTCTAACATTCCTTCTAAGATTTCTTATAACATTCCTTCTAAGATTTCTTCTAACATTCCTTCGATCATTTCTTCTAACACCTAACATTCCTTCTAAGATTTCTTCTAACATTCCTTCTAAAATTTCTTCTAACATTCCTTCTAAACTTCTAACATTCCTTCTAACATTCCTTCAAACATTTCTTCTAACATTTCTTCCAACATTCCTTCTAACATTCCTTCTAACATTCCTTCTAACATTCCTTCTAGCATTCCTTCTAACATTTCTTCTATCATTCCTTCTAACATTCCTTCTGACATTCCTAACATTTCTTCTAACATTCCTTCTAACATTTCTGCTAACATTCCTTCTAACATTTCTTCTAACATTCCTTCTAACATTCCTCTAACATTCCTGCTAACATTCCTTCTATCATTTCTTCTAACATGTATTCTACGATTTCTTCTAACATTTCTTCTAACATTCCTTCTAGCATTTCTTCTAACATTTCTTCTAACATTCCTTCTAACATTACTTCTAACATTTCTGCTACACATTCTTTCAAAATCATTTCCTTCTAACACCTACAATTTTTCTACACATTTCTTCTAACATTCCTTCTAAGAATTTCTTCTCAACATATTCTTCTAACCTTTCTGCTACATTCCTTCTAAACATTCCTTCTAACATTTCTTCTCAACATTCCTTCTAACATTTCTTCTAAACAATTCCATCTAAGATTTCTTCACTACAATTCCTTGTCTAACATTCCTTCTAACATTCCTTTCTAACACCTAACATTTTCTTCTAACATTCCTTCCTAGAACATTCCTGCTAAGATTCTTCACACATTCCTTCTAAAAACATTTCTTCTAACATTCTTTCTAACGTTCTTCTAGACATTCCTTCTAAGATTTCATTCACACAATTCCTCTACATTCCTTCCAAACATTACTTCTAACATTTCTTGTAAACATTTCCTTTCATCATTTCATTCTGAACACCTAACTTCTTCTAATAGCCTTCGAAGTTGCGTAGGGGTGTCTTATCACATTCCTTCTAACATGTCGCTACACTCCTTCTAGATTTTCTTCTAGACATTTCCTTCTAAGAGCATTCCTTCTAGATTTTCTATAACATTCTTCTAAGATTCTTCTACCCATTCCTGCGATCTTTTCTTCTACCAACCTAACATTTCTTCTAACATTCCTTCTAAGATTTCTTCTAACATTCCTACTAACATTTCCTTCTAACATTTCTTCTAACATTCTTTTCTAACATTTCTTCTAAAATTCCTTCTAAGATTTCTTCACACATTCCTTCTAACATTCCTTCCAACATTACTTTTAACATTTCTTCTAACATTCCTTCTAGCATTCCTTCTAACATTTCTTCTATCATTCCTTCTAACATTCCTTCTGACATTCCTAACATTTCTTCTAACATTCCTTCTAACATTTCTGCTAACATTCCTTCTAACATTTCTTCTAACATTCCTTCTAACATTCCTCTAACATTCCTTCTAACATTCCTTCTATCATTTCTTCTAACATTTATTCTACGATTTCTTCTAACATTTCTTCTAACATTCCTTCTAGCATTTCTTCTAAAACATTTCTTCTAACAGTCCTTCTAACATTCTTCTACATTTCCTTCTAACACTTCTGTCAAAGCAGGGCTTCTAACACCTAACAATTTCTTCTACTTCTTCTACATTCCTTCTAAGATTCGTCGCACCATTCCTCTAACATTGCTGCTACATTCCTTCTCACATTCCTTCTAACCTGTTCCATCTACTTCCTTCTAACAATGCTTCTAACATTCCTTCCGAAGATTTTCTCAACACATTCCGTCGAACATTCCTTCTAACATTCCTTCTAACACCTAACATTTCTTCTAACATTCCTTCTAAGATTTCTTCTAACATTCCTACTAACATTTCCTTCTAACATTTCTTCTAACATTCTTTTCTAACATTTCTTCTAACATTCCTTCTAAGATTTCTTCACACATTCCTTCTAACATTCCTTCCAACATTACTTTTAACATTTCTTGTAACATTCCTTCTATCATTTCTTCTAACACCTAACATTTCTTCTAATATTCCTTCTAACATTTCTGCTAACATTCCTTCTAACATTTCTGCTAACACTCCTTCTAAGATTTCTTCTGACATTTCCTTCTAACATTCCTTCTAACATTTCTTCTAACATTCCTTCTAAGATTTCTTCTAACATTCCTTCGATCATTTCTTCTAACACCTAACATTCCTTCTAAGATTTCTTCTAACATTCCTTCTAAAATTTCTTCTAACATTCCTTCTAAACTTCTAACATTCCTTCTAACATTCCTTCAAACATTTCTTCTAACATTTCTTCCAACATTCCTTCTAACATTCCTTCTAACATTCCTTCTAACATTCCTTCTAACATTCCTTCTAGCATTCCTTCTAACATTTCTTCTATCATTCCTTCTAACATTCCTTCTAACATTCCTAACATTTCTGCTAACATTCCTTCTAACATTCCTTCTAACATTCTTTCTAACATTTCTGCTAACATTCCTTCTAACATTTCTTCTAACATTCCTTCGAACATTTCTTGTAACATTCCTTCTAATATTTATTCTAACATTTCGTCTAACATTTCTTCTAACATTCCTTTCTAACATTCCTTTCTAACATTCCTTCTAACATTCCTTCTAACATTCCTTCTAACATTCCTTCTAACATTCCTTCTAGCATGTCTTCTAACATTCCTTCTAACATTCCTTCTAACATTTCCTTCTAACATTCCTTCTGACATTCCTTCTCACATTTCTTCTAACATTTCTTCTAACATTCCTTCCAGCATTCCTTCTAACATTTCTTCTAGCATTCCTTCTAACATTCCTTCGAACACCTTCTAACATTTCTTCTAACATTCCTTCTAACATTCCTTCTAGCATTCCTTCTAAAATTCCTTCTGAAGAATCCTTATAAAAAATCTGTTTAAAGGTTTCTTGTAAAAAAAAAATCTAAAAATCATTCTCAAAATCCTTCTCAAAATCATTCTGAAAATCCTTCTAAAAATCCTTCCAAAATGCCTTCTTAAAGTCCGTCTAAAATGCCTCCTAAAAATCCGTCTAAAATGCCTTCTTAAAATCCTTCCAAAAAGCCTTCTTAGAATCCTTCTAAAATGCCTTCTTAAAATCCTTCTAAAATGTTTTCTTAAAATCCTTTTAAAATGCCTTCAAAAATCCTTAAAAATAAATTAAAAAATCCCATGTGGGGGGGGGGCCAACATGCACGAGCCCAATGCCCGAAAAAACTTGGAAACATTAATAAAATCGCGCGTTTTCAGCATCTCACGTTAGGGTTCCCCAGGTTGGACCCGTGGTGGCCCAAATTGGGCCGAAGTTGCCCCAAACAGGCCCACTTCTATGCCGTCATGCTGACTGCATTGACTCCTTTTCTTTGGAATATGTTTCTTCTTATGTTTTGATGCACTTCTGTTTTGAAATAAAAATCCAACAGGTCAATGTTGAGCGCCATATAACGCCATTCCTTTAATTTGGTGGCCCAATAAAGGACGAGATGAAGAGGCGTGTTTTTCTAGGCCAAATCATGGTTTGCATTGGGTGAGCGGTTGCAATTTTGTTTTTGCAACCCGTGATGCGTGGACGCGATCATCGTCGATCATGTGCATTCTATCTTAAATAATGTTAAACCCAATGATGCCGGCAGCATCCGGCAGCACAAGTTCCAGAGATCTTGCGTGTGCTGAAACTCGAACGCGGCAACATCAAGTGCAGTTGCATGTTTGTTTCTTGGTATGCGCATTTATATCTACATGAAGTGCCAATATTGTAGAGTTTCGCACCCGTAAGGGTTGCCGATGATACTTTTTCTGCACCCAGATACTGCTGACCCAAAGCTGTTGTTGTTGTTGTTGTTGTTGTTGTTGTTGTTGTTCTTGTTGTTGCTGTTGTTGCTGTTGTTGCGGTTGCGGTGGTGTGACAAACTCTGCTTCCCTTACGTGCTCCCCCTTGCTCCTGGCGGGTATACAAAACGTTTGTATATTGAAAATTTGGCAAAGCTACCAGAGTTCAACTTACCTTCAGCGGTCCAGCGCAATTTTCCAAGGTTTTTAACGCCAGCTACTGCATTTGTGCTGGCCTTAAAGAGTCACCTTGTTGGTTGGTGAGGAATGCAGGGTTTCATCGAAACTGCAGCAGTGTGGCACCCGCAACGAGAATTACGGTAGAGACTTTACATGAATGGTAGAAGGACAAACGTTAATGGCTGACAGAGCTTGAATGAGTTTCGTTCTGGTTTGCGCAAGACTGATAAGACCGTGATGACGATCATCTTCTAAAGAAGATTTCGCTTCAATTCTTAAAAGGATTATATGTGATACCTGTATATACCTGTCATATCTTGTCATGCTTTTGTTAATGCGATTGCCATGGCAGCTGTGGCAACTGGCAAGGCTGGATGGCTTTGACCTTCTTGGGAGCTCTGGCTGGTGGCGTTGGTATACAACTGAATGTTGCTCTTGGCAAGGCCTCGCGAGCAAGACCCATGGGCCAAAGTTGTGGACCAATGCCCTCAAGAGGTCCAGTTAAGCAACAAAATTCTTTCGGTTTAAGGCGCCCAACTTAACTCTAAACCCATATTTTGTATCCTGTGCTCTTTTCATGCAGCAAGATATGTCGTAGCGCATGCATGTTGCAGGGAAGTACAGCTGATGCGAAGCGAGCTGCATGGGTTGGAACTGGAATGGCTATTGCTGTTCTGGCTGCGCTGGCAGTTCTGATCCTGTGCTGGCCTTAAGATTTTTTCCGTTCATAAGCGGCAAGGAAGGTGACAGGCATTGACAGGGACTACTTGCTCAAGGTATCCAGAGCCTGGCTGGTTTTCACATTTGAAGTTTACCTTGCAGTGGGACCATTAGTTTGGCTGTTTCTGGACTGCTTGGATACCTATGCCTTTCCATCGTGAACTGGAGGTGCATTCCGAGAACTCTCGCGCAAATCTTTTCGAATGATCCTGCGGTGCTTGATCTTTTCCAAGCTTGTAGACTTCCATTCGCTGCTTTCGTGGTGCAGGTCTCAGAGGCAAGTTTATAATTCGATTGGCAGCGGCAGGTTCATGTGTCTCTTTAAAAACACATCCTTTTCCTCAGAAAGGAGCAGAGATGCATGATACAGAAGAAGCGCCCTTTGATTGCAAAACCAGATCCATTGCACCAGATTGCTGAGGTGCTCATGAACCTTTCCGCTGCTTTGCCAGCATGGGAGACTTCACACGCCTGAGCATTCACAGCAAGCCATTCACGGAGCCTGAGGTCAACATTGAGAAGATCCCAATGGTTCAAATCTCAGTGCCGAATCAAAATAGTCTTGGAAAGATTTCTTCAAAGAAACGCTGATGAAGTTCGTTCGTCAAACTGATCCGCACCTTCTGACAATCCCGCTAATTCCTCTCTAGCAGGCCTAAGAATCCACCTGCCAGGCTGCCGGTCGGGTGAATTCTGTCTTCTATGCAGGGCTCGTTGGATCTTGGTTGGGACAAGTACCAGGTGTGCAATGGCAGCAACTCTGCTTGAAAGCTTAACGAGGCTGTATTTCTGCCAATTTTGTGCTTTGCAGGTGTCATCCTTTGTACGACTTTCTGGCGTAAGGACAGTTGAAAACTGTTGAAACCAGGTCCAGCTGGTGGGAAGAAATCTATATTTGCGTGGTTGAAAAGTGCGACAGCTGGATGCCCTGGAGGATCTATATGGGCTCTACACTGGGGTTGCAGCTGGATACGGTCTTCTTGTGCTCCTTTATGCAGGCTCCACTTTGCCCCTCCAGTTGTGACCTGGGTGCTGTATCTGCTGTATGCAAGGCATCGTCTTGTGTCTGGACTGGGACAAGGCTGGATACATCTGGGCCAAACCGAACGCCTTGCCATGTCCATGTGGCGTGATTTTAGGGTATTTTAGGATGTTGTTTGTTCGTCTTGGTGCTTGTGTTCGCATTGGTAGGTGGTGGAAGAAGCTCAACACCGCTCCGAAAGGGCAAAGCCGAATCACAACGTCAGCTTGCAGCCAACAAATGTGCCTTGGTTGATTGCTTTGAACCTTTCAAAATATGTTGATAAATTATTTATAGAGGTTACATTCTTAAAATTAAGGAATAAGATATAATTGATATAATCATATTGTTACATGTTTATATACATAGAAATTAGAACTACATGGCTGAGATGGCAACCATATAAAATGAACTACGAGAATGAGACCCCGTGAGGCAGAGAATCCACCTGCTGAGAATACTGAAGATACATAAACATATTAAATTATAAAAAATAATTCATCTACATTTATTTATTACATAATATCATAATATCCACAAAAAAATTAATTATATTTGATTTAAATCTATTTAAATATTCAATATATTATATTATAATATAATTCATTATTTTTTTAAATGAAATTTTTAAATTATATTTTAAATATATTAAAAAAATATTTTTTGAATATTATATTTTTTATAATAAATTTTATATTATACAAA